TTTGGGTCTAAGCTAGCTGGGTGGCTGGAAACCAACCAGTGGCATCTCCCCCAACACCATAAAATAAATAAATAAATAGAAATGTAAAACTATGGACTGATTTATTTGGTGGAGAAAATATTAAAGCAGGAGAGCATTCAGGCTGTGGTATGGTCATAGCTCATGGCTACTTTTATCTAGATCTACCATGAAAAAGATCAAATGGTACAGAACAAAAAATGTGCAGTCTGGTGATGAAAAATAGCTTAAATAAACTAAAAGTTGCAACCAAAGATGTGCTGGAAAAGATGTTGTAATTGTTCATTTAATTGGGGCTGGCTTACAGTTTCAGTCCAATTATCATCATGGCAGGAAGCATGACCATGTGCAGGCAGACATGGTGCTGGAGAAGGAGTTGAGAGTTCTACATCCAGATTGAGACATACTGGCTAGACTAGAGCTTCTGAGACTTCAACGCCTACTCCCAGTGACCCACTTCCTCCAACATGGCCACACCAGTAGGAGTACAACAAGACCACACCTACTCCAACAAGGCCATACCTCCTAATAGTAGCACTTCCCTATGACCAAGCATTCAAACCCATGAATTTATACCTATTCAAACCACTACACAGGGGTTCCTGGTTCCAGACAGTAACTGTCTGGAGAATGTTTCTCTAAGCTACACAGAGGCAGCTGCAGCTGTAGTCCATGGTGGATGGGCTCTATCCCAAGTCCACAGCAAAACATGGCAGTGTAATCCACATGGTACTTGTCTTGCAGGCAGGAAAGAAGTGAAATTGAAGATATGAAGGGATCTTGTACCATGGTTCCAGAGAGCTACTGGCAGGCAATGTGTGAAAAGGTTGGAGCATCTGCAAGGAGGTTTATGCATGCAGCTATGAAGCAGAACCCTAAGATGCACTGGAGATCTCAGGATGCTGGAGATGCTAGCACAATAGGCTGTCTGCTGAGAAAAGCTGTAGGTACCGTGAAGTTGACCCTAGAGAGAGGTGCTAGGGCAGCAGAGCTGGGTGGAAGAAGCTACATGTGCCCACTAGAACCCAGATAGTTTCATCACAAGACTCCGATGCTAGATATGGAGCCACAAGATTTGGCGTTTCCCTTGCTTGGCTTTGGTTTTCTTTGGTCTGACAGGCATTCTCCTGTTCCTCCGTTTTGGAATGGGAATGTTTGCTTTGTGCCACTGCATATTGGAAATAGGTAACTAGTATTTTAATTTACATGAGCTCACAGTTAAGAGGCTGCCTTCAGTCTCAGACTGATTTGGACTTTCAAGCAGAGCTGAGACTGATAAAGACTGACATCTGAAGTCAGACTGAAAACATTATGAGGTGGCCATGAGTCTACAGAGACAAAGCTTGAAGGCAATGACTTAAAAGTGATACGTGGGTGTCAAGTTACAAGGGGCAGACTTGTAATCACTATATTGATTATCAAGTTGGCAATATTTAGAAATCACCATGGAAACAGACCTCTGTATGTCTGTGAGGGATTTCTGCAGTAGATTAGCTGAGGTGGGAAGTCCCACTCTAAATGTGGCAGCACCATTCATAGTCTGAATCCTGGACAGAATGAAGAGAAGGCCAGCTGGACATAGGTATTCAGCACTCTCTGCTTCCTGACTGTGAATGTGACATGACAGGCTGCGTTGAGCTCTTGCAGCCACATTTTTCTCACTGTGACCGACTGTACCCCCTTTAAATCATGAGCCAAAACAACCCCTTTCTTCGTGAAGCTGCATTTTGTAGGTGTTTTGCCACAGCAGTGTGACAAGTTTCTCCTTCAATGACCGTGTTAAAGTCTTTGACTAAATGACGCTGTTTGGGAAGATTAAGGTGTGCCACACATGAGGCCAGCACTCAACCAAACTTCTTTTTTAGATAGGGTTTCTCTGTGTAGCTCTGACTGCCCTGGAACTCACTCATGTTCCGCCTGTCTCCAGTGCTGGGATTAAAGGCCTGTACCACCAGTGCCTGGCTTCAGCCCAAGTGTGATTCAGTCCCAAAGACACTGACTTGGCTCCTTCTTACAGGGTGGATAGAGGGTCACATGTTCTCCCATCCAATCACTTGGAGGTAGGGAGAAGACTAGAAGCATGTGTATAAAACCATCTGCTTTAATGGGCCTAGGAAAAAGAATGTGATTAGTAAGATTGCAGAATATATTTTAAAATTTAGCTGACCACAGAATTCACAGTTTGTTTTCTGTTTCTTCACTTGTTTTACAAACTAACCTGAAAATTACTATTGGTCTCACAGGGGCATCAGGCTGCCTTTGGTAATTTAACAACCTTGAATTCAAATAAGAATGAACCACCTATTGATCAAAAGAAGGGGTTGTGGTTTGCCTATAGAATGTCCCTTACAGGGTTGGTGGAGTTGTTGGGGGAGATTGTAGAACCCCTGGGAGGTGGGCGTGTCTCTGGAAATTAAACCTTGAGGGTTATAGGCAGCTCTAGTCTCTGCTTCCTGATCCACTGAGCTGAGAATAAGCAGCTGCTGTGAGATCCAGCCACCACAGGACCTACTGTGAGATCCATCACCACAGGACCTACTGTGAGATCCACCACCACAGGACCTACTGTGA